GTTTAGCTAAGCGGAACTATTCAGGTGAGTATTCATGAGACTTTAACTGTGATGCATGCTTATGTACAAATTATTTGAGCATTACGTTTTTTTTATGTACATGTTTATGGGTTTATTACATGTATATGAATTATTATTATGGATTGCATGCTATTTTGTTTACGCGTACTTAAACGTTAATTAACATGTTATAAACGGGTTAATATTTTTGTCGGGTATATGAAGAGGTCAAAAGTCATAAGGGATGGCACATCCTAGGGATGGGTGACCGGACAAGGGATAGCCGTGTAACCCGGGGAAATGCCGATGACGATAAGACCTTAACCCGACGGGAAATTAAGAAATCTCATTATTATTTAAAAATGGTTGAAACAAATGTGCATATTATTTTATTTGGGGCATTGTTTGTTTTATGCATGATGATGTGTGTATGATTGTGCACAAAAATCATGAACTCAGCGAGCTTTATAAAGCTGACTATTAGTATGCATCTCAGGTGCAAGAGGTTCAAGGATGGACAAGGGCAAGGTTCTCGCCTAGATAACTATATTATTGTTATATTTCAGATGTTTATGTTTATGCTTAAACTCACTTTGTAATGTAACCCGATATGGGATGGGTTTGCGTTGAGCTATTAATTTTAATTAAATTTTGGAAGACTTCCGCTATAATATGACTTTATTAGCCGCTATAATTTGAGGTTATTTATTGTTATTTAATGAGAATTACGTGACACAACTCATGGTGAAAATGAGGATGTTACAAGTGGTACCTCTTAAATTTCAACAATAACTATTTTACGTGCTTATATATACATATATATACACACACACGCACACATATAAGTATACACACACACACACACACATATATATATATATACTATATTATATAACATTTGACAAAAACTCTTAAAAATCATTTTTATGCATGAAATACTGTTTATTTATGCATATTACTTAAAGTTCAAGATTACAAGTAAATTGTGTGTAAGTACAACTTATTAAAGCTTCATATTTGAATTCGTGTAATTAACTGCATATAAGCATAATCAAATAGAGAATAAACATCTCATTTTAAATATAAAAAATTTAAATTATAATTAGGATGATCATTGAGTTCTAACAAAATACTTAATTATTATTTTTATAAAAAACTATATTATCAAACCAAAAATAAAAAAAATGAATTAAAAAAATACATAAAAAATGAGAAATATTAAATAATTAGTTTGGTATGAAATCAATATTTTTTTTCAATTTCTTATGATATCTTCATATTCATATAGTATTCAAAAATAAAAACATTATCGTTTTCTCAAAATCTTCCATAAAACCGTATTATAACATCGACTGGAACAAAAAAATGAAATACTAAAATCAAGATATATTTTGTTGCATTGTGCGAGTACCTTTATTTTGTGTGTGTATATATATATATATTATATTATATATCTATACTATATTATAAAACATTTGGCTAAAACTCTTAAAAACTCTTAAAACTCTTAAACCATTCATCCCTATCCGATTTCATCTCATATATGAATTCGTGTAATTAACTGCAGATAAACACAATCAAATACAAGATAAACATCTCATTTTAAATCTAAAATATAATTAGTATAATCATTAAATTCTAACAGAATATTTAATTATTATATTTATAAAATTTATACTATTAAA